GGAGTGGTATGTGCTGGGGGAGAGGTTTAGAGTCGTCTGTACTGGGAGAAGGGGTAGGAATTGTGTGTACTGGGGCAAAAGGTAAAGTTTGTATGTATTGGGGGGAGGCGGTAAGATTTGTATGTACTGGAGGAAAAGGTAAGATTGGTTTTACGTGAGAGAGGGAGAGGGGGGTAAGAGTGTTATGTACTGGGAAGGGGGTAAGGTGGTAAGTACTAGGGTCTATGCAATCGTTCAGCAATTTTTTTCCAAGGCTGCAAGTAACATGATGGTCACTCTTCTATTAGAGATATAGACAACGAAAGTCTATAATGCTGATGGCGACAACTTTAAAACTGTACGTTTGACCTTATTTTTTAACAACTGACGTACCTTTTTAAGAAACGTAGAAGAAAAAATTGTTCAAATATAATAGATGCTTTCAGCTGTGCGCATCCCATGAGACATAAACAAGATTGAGCGAGGATTTTTTTTAGCGACTTTCCTTTTTCATAGAATGAACTACATACATATTTTAGTTCGCCGTACTGGTACTATCATTGTTGTGTCTTGCATGCATAAAACATGAGTTCGATTCGGGCATTGTTATCGGGAACGTCTATCTTTCTGCTCGGACACACTATCCTTCTCAGCTGGTGGTGACTCTGACAGTAGCCTGCTTTCTTACCCGAATGGACTAAACTGAGTTGACCGGGGAGTAAACCATTTACAATCATTACAATCAGAATGGCTCGGGCAGTTGCGCAGGTGGCTGCTTGGCGGGAGCTCTGGTGCAGTTTGCTTCTTCTTTCCTGTCCCTTTCAAATACCTATCGGCCTTGAGTCTTCCCCTTCTTTTCTTTGTATGTTACTCTCTAGTGCTTTCTAAGCTTCTGTCTTTATATCATGACCTATTTTGTTAGTTTCAGTAAGATTTTTACGGCACTTGCAACACGTTAGGTCAGAAAGTGCCGAAGATTAGATGTGTTACAAGAGAGTTACAAACACAAAAAAGAGGGAAGAGAGATATAAACCATAGATGTATGATAGGATAGAAGGAGCAAACAACATCAGAACACCCACGAACCAGCCACAATTTATTTTGTGTTTGCAAATGCGTAGACCAGTTAGTTACTAAAACAAGCAACTATGTAGTGTTCATCACCTGTTTCTTCCTGTTGTGTCTGATCGGGGTCAGGACGTGAACTGGCTGCAGCTTCCTCTACTTCCGAGTCAATGGCTACCGTAATACATGGTTGGTCAATCTTCACGTTCCTGTCGAAACAAGAAGTCAGCCTTTAAAAAAATGATTGCTGCTGTTTGCTCTCAGCACCCCCTCCCCCTTCTTTCCTGTGTCCTCTAAAATATTCCCCCCTTCCTTTCCCACCTTTATTGCTGCTATCGTTAATTCTATTGTTGTTGTTGTTGTTGTTGTTGTTGTTGTTGTTGTTGTTGTTGTTGTTCTTCTTCTTCTTCTTCTTCTTCTTCTTCTTCTTCTTCTTCTTTTTCTTCTTCTTCTTCTTCTTCTTCTTCTTCTTCTTCTTCTTCTTCTTCTTCTT